CCGCGGCGAGCTGCCCAGGCCGTGGGAGGAGGAGGTGTTCCCTGCCTGCCTGGCCCACCCCACCTCCGAATATGTTCGAGCGATTTGCCTAAGCCTTTCCTGAGCATCTGGGGGTGGGGGTCGACAACTGGCGCCCTCGATGGTGGTCTTTCCTGAGTGATGGGGGCTTGGAATTTCTAACCGCTTTTGGTGGCCTGCGCCCCTCGCTCGGCGCGCGGGCCCACCCGGCTCCGTTTCGTGATTTACTTCCTCTTGTGAAGGGGGGCGCTCGGCCGACCGGCCTGCTCGCCGCCCCGCGCGCGATTTGTTTGGTTTGTTTTGCTTGTTTTCCTTATTTGTATTTCTCTTCTTCTCTTCTTCGTCCTCTTCTTCTTATGTGTATATTGTATAAAAAAATCCGCCGATCCGGCGTGTGAGTTTCAAGGAGTCTCAGCTACAGCCTCGAGGCTGAGCTTCAGCCTCTGGGGGGGTCGCCGGGGTGGCTCTGCCGGGGAAGGGGGGGTGGGGGGGGGGGGGGGGGTGCGAGTTTCCGGCGAACCCCGGGGCCGCTCCGGGGGAGTGGAAGATAGGGGGGGGGGGGGCGCCATGCTCCGCTTTTTCCGGCGCTTTGGAGGAGGGGGGGGGCCCAAGAGACCCCCAAGGGGTTCCAAGAGGGCCCCGAGTCGCCGAAAAATCGCTCCAAGACGCCCGAGATGGCCTCCAGACGGCCCAAGGTGTCTCCAAGACGCCCCAAGAAGCTTCCAAGAGGCCTCCCAAGAGGGCCCCAAGAGGCCAGAATCGTTGATTTTCATTGGTTTTCTCAGGGTTTTTAGCGTTCTTGCCTTTTCGGGCGTCCGACGCTCGAAGACGGCCCAAGAGGCCCCCAAGTCCGTCCCAAGACGGCCCACGATGCTTCCAACACGGCCCAAGAGAGCCCCAAGACGGCCCAAGAGGGCCCCAAGACGGCCCAAGAGGGCCTCTGGACAGCCCAAGAAGGCCCCAAGAGAGCCCCAAGAGGGGCCCAAGAGGGGGACCACGAACCGAAAGAACCGAGCTTTCCGCCCCAAGAGGCCCCCAGGAGGCCCCAAGAGACCCCCAAGGGGCCCCAAGAAGCCCACAAGAGGCCCAAAAGAGGTTCCAAGAGGCCCCAAAACAGCTCCCCAGAGGCCTCCAGACTGCCTCCGGCAGGCCCCCGGTTTCTTCCGCGGCACCGCCCAGGGCGCCACCGGCAGGATGTCCTCCGTCTCATCGTTTTCCTTCAAGTTATCGCCTCTTCCTCATTCTCCTCCTCCTCCTCTGCGACCTCACTCCTATCCCTCAACGATCGCGTCACCGAGTGCCTCTTCTTTGAAACATCCTCGCTCTTCAAACGCACATCCATACACACATGCATACATACCTACATTTAAACACATTTGCATACATAGAAAAACAATCTTCCAGACATACATACTTACATTCACACACATACACACATATTATCATACACACATACAAACATACATACAAACTAAATACATACATACGCGCACAAGCATACATACATACATACGTACCTACACACAGGCACACATGATCAATGCATGCATACATGCATGCACGCGTACATACACACACATATATCGTGAAACTCACCGCGTGCTCGAAACTTGAGAGAGACCGCGGGAAGTCGAGAGAAGCCGCGGAACGAGGCCTCTACTACTACTACCACTACTACCACAACCACTACTACTACTACTACTACCACTACTACTACTACTACTACTACTACTACTGCTACTACTACTACTACTACTACTACTACTAATACTACTACTAGTACTACAGGAGCGTTTCCCAACTAGTATGTGTGTGTGGGTGATGCTGTGTGCGCATGTCTGCGGCGCAGGTTAAGTGGTGTGACTGTGTGTGTGCGTTTGAGTGTGCGCCCATAATTTCTGCGTCTGGAGAATAACCCCGAGCGACCCGGATCGGCGGCACTGGCCGAAGGCCACTACAATATTATATGTGTAATAAAAAACATTGGGGGCGCGCGATTCGACGAGCTTGCGATTTCGTGGCCCCCGAGGGCGGTTCCGAAGACGCCATGTGGCACCATGCGTTAGTGGATGAAGGCGGGGCCCCCTGGCGAGACGTCGGGCGCGGCGGTCCTGGATCTCCGCGAAGCCTTCGAACGCTGTGGCGCGCGCCTCTTGCGGGCTGAGGCGCCCAAACACGGCCCCCCGCCCCAGTTGCTGAAACTGCTGATCTCCATTTATACATGTGAGCGTCTCGTGACCTTTCAGGGGCGTCTTCTCGGCGCGCACCACTCCTACCTATTCGGCGGTAGTGGCGGGGGGCACGGGGGGGACTCGTTGCCTTGAGCTTGCTATCCTGTCCTTCGCCGACGCCCGGGCCAGGGCCGGCCCCCCTCTGCGCCGCAAGCTTTTCGTGGGCGACCGCATCGTCCAAGCCGCGGGCGAGGATGCCGAAGTCCCCCGGCGGCTTTTCGATGGCACTTTCCAGCGCGTTGCGGCCGCGCAGGCCAAGGGCGTCGCTGTTTCGCTTTCCAGGCCTGACGGCCCTCTAAGAAAAGGCTACATCCGGGCCTCCACCTGGCCTCTCAGGGCACGAATGCGGGGGTGGGCTCGCCAGCTGGGCCTTCATTTCCAAAGCCGGAGCACGCGGCTAGGTGTTGATTCGGCGGGAGGGGCTTCCTTGCAAGGTAGGTCCAGGTTCGCGGAGAGATTGGCAGGTGCTCGCAGGCGTCGCACCAATCTCACCAGCCTGGCCAAGCAAGGGGCTCGCCCGTGCAAGCTTGCTCGAATGGGGTTCACGCCGTCGGTGATGCACGGTGCTTCCTGCTTAGGGATGGACACCGCTCGAGTGAATCAGGCCCGCAATCTAATTGGCGGCGCGCTGGGGGGGCCAATCGATTGGGAAGGATAGAGTCCTTCGCTTCTGGATCTTCAAATCGAACCCCCCCGGTGGACGCCTGCGCGCGCCCCCTCGTGCACTGGGCCAAAGCGGCGTGTGGCGGCCGCCATGGGGCGCTGATGCGGGCAGCCCGGCGAGGGGCCGCGGTCGCGGCAGCCAATGCCAAGCCAGGCCAGAGCCTGTGGCGCAGGATCAATCAATGCCTCACTTTGTGACAACCTCGGGGGGCTTTGGGGTCTTCGTCGGTTGGCCACCCGTTCGGGCGTTGCTTCAGTCCGAGGGATATCGATCCCCCCAGCGGCGGTCGGCCGCCCTGGCCTACCTTGGCCGCGACTTTTGGACTCTGGACAAAGTGTGGCGTGCGGGGTACACAGATGACCGGACCTGTCAGCAGTGTGCCGCGGACATAGGCTGTCAGCACCATCATTTCGCACAGTGCCCAAGGCACCACGCCGTGCGCCACCAAGTGGCCGCCGAGTTGGGCCTCCAGAGGGTTGTGCATCGATTCGAGTCCTCCGAGTCTGAGTCTCTCTTCTCTCGTGGTATCGTGGAGCATCCCTTGGAGGACCTTTCTCTGATCTTGTCCCCGCCCAGGAAGAGCTGGGCCCTTTTTCAACCCTCCATTGTGCCAAAGCCGCGCCTATTCGGACGGCTCAGGACGGGGGGCGCCAGGGCTCAATAAGTACGGGTGGGGGTGCGTCTTTTTGGATGACGACGGTTCGGTTACGAGGGCCATGTGCGGCTCGCTCCCAGGCCCGCGTTTCCTGGGCACCGTTTTGAGGGCTGAGCTTTTTGGCCTCATGAATGCTTTGGAAATCGCCTCCGTCAGCTCTGTGTGGGCATCGACAATGCCACCGTCATCAGAGTCCTTCGCAGAAGCCAGAAGTGGTGCTGCCGTGCCTCTCGCCCGCGCGCGGACTTGTGGACTAGATTTTGGCCCCTCCCTAGGGAAAGCTTCGCGGGCCACGGTTTCTCCTTTGTGAATGTTCGGGCCCGCTCCAGAGGCCCAGCCGATGAGTCGCAAGGCGCCTTCCTCGATTTTCATGGTAACCAGCTCGCTGATGCAGAAGCCAAGCCAAGGCAGGGCACGGATTTGCAGGCGGTCCCCCAGTGGAGGAGCGCCACATGGACCTCTCGTACGGCAGTGGTCCAAGGGGTGCCGGGGTTGGTGGCGGCGATGACGGCGGGGGTGGGGGGTTGTAGATATTCCACTGGGAGGTCTGCCACCAATTGTGTTCGGCCCCGTCGGCCTCGACTCCCACCCGGCTCCGCTCCTCACTCCCTCCTCCGAGCACGTGGCGCTTGGCGTTGCACTGCGTGCTGCCGTTGCGCTCGCTCCCTGCGCGCGATGCGCGCCCTGGCACGCAGGCCATGTGGGGGGAGGCGTCGTGTCGACCGTCGTTGGGTCGTCCCAGGAGGGGGAGGAGGATACCAATATTCCTGCCGCGCTGCGCGGCGAGGCCCTGGGGCACGAGGGTAACTACACGTACAGCGCCCGATGCGGGTTTTCACGAGCGAGAGGGGGTGCAAACTCGTTGAGGCCTGCAGGAGAGCTCCTGCTAACCCGACGGCGGCGTACCGCCTCTCGCTCCCGGCCCGTGCGAGGCATCCTTACACTGTGAAGCTCGCTCTCGGGGAGGCGTCCCGTTCCCTGCTGCCATGGGAATGCGACGCCTTCCGGGAGCGAGCTCTCTGACCCAAGCTTTTCACTAGGGCAGAGTTTCTGTGCGGGGGCGGGGGGGGAGGCACCTCAGCAGCGTGCCCCCATCCACCGCCAGGATTGAAGACTGGCTGTGGGAGGGATCTGCCAGGCGAGTTCTCGCAGCAAAAATCTCCTCCTCCTCCTTTTCCTCATTTTCCTCCTCCTGTTCCCTCCTTTCCCTCCCTCTCCTCCTCCTCCTCCTCCTCCTCCTCCTCTCCTCCTCTGCTCCCTCCCTGCTCCTGCTCCTGCTCCTGCTCCTGCTCCTGCTCTTGCTCCTGCTGCTCCTGCTGCTCCTGCTGCTCCTCCTCCTCCTCCTCCTCCTCCTCCTCCTCCTCCTCCTCCTCCTCCTCCTCCTCCTCCTCCTCCTCCCCCCCTCGCTCGCCAGCCCCTGCGCGCGCGGGTC